AGCCCCTCATCATCTTTGTGGCCTCCTCTGGCCTCCTCTGTTGCTCCAACAGGTCCATGTCTTTCTTGTGCTGGGGGCCCCAGAGCTGAACTCCCTGGTGGGCAGTGAGAGGGACGTGGGCCATTGGAGAACCCTGGCAGCAATGACAGCCGATGTCAGCCTGGGCTGGATGAACAGGGAAGAGCCAGAGGTCAAGGGGAGCCATTATCTCCCTCTACTCAGTACTCGTTGGATCACATGTAGATACTGCATCCTGCATTGGGCTCCCCAGTATGGGATATCAATCAGGTGGATCAAATTTGGGGGAGGCCACTGAGAGGGAGTGGCTTGAGCACTGGCTGTGTGAGGGGAGGCTGGGGCAGCTGGGCTTGCTCAGCCTGGAGCAGAGATGGCTTTGGGGAGGGGACAGACCTTAGAGAAGCCCCTGCTGCCCCTGGGGAGATCACTGAGGAGGTGGCACAGCAGAGGACAAGAGACAATTGGCGTAAGTTGAGAGCAGAGAGACTCAGCCTATGGCACATTCCTCATGAGGAGGTCAGGCAGAGGCACAGGCTGCCCCAAGAGATTGTCTAGTCTCCATCCTCAGAGATTTTCAAGCCCTGACCGGATGAAGATGGCCTGGTCTGACCTCAAAGCCAAGCTGCTGTTGGAGCAGAGGTCTCCTGAGGTCCTTATCAGCCTGAGCTGCCCTGCAATGAAGCCACGAGATTTCTGTCCCTTCTTCCAAATGTCACTGAGACGTTAGAAAGGTCAGAGGTCCCCTGGGGACACGAGTGACCTAATGGGTGCACAGAGATCTAGACAGAAACACTGCCTTAGCTCACAAACCATGTTTCCTTCTGAAACCAGGCTGAGGGACTGTGTCACCAAACTCAGGTGCCACACACACTGGCTGTAGTAATTAAGGTTGAAAGGCAGTGGTGAGTCTCACACCCTGTCACGCTGCACGTGGCAGCCAGGCTCTGCTCAGGCCTAATTCCAGCTAAAGTGATCTTCACGTGGAGTTCATCACCTTGTAAACCTGCTCATCAAATACCACCCTTGGCCCCTGCATGGAGTATCATCAGCTCCTTGAGGCAAGTGGTAGGCATACGGCTGGTTAATATGTCTATTGTAAAGATACAGCCACTGATAGTACTGGTGTTCTGGAGACTCCTGAGCTGGCAGGACGGCAGAAGGCAGCAGGATCCGCATCGCTGCGGCAGCACATCCTCCCCCTGCACAAGGCAGGCCTGTGCCATGCAGCCGGCATGACCGCTGCTACAGCTGCGCGATGGAGCCAGGCTGGTGCCTCGCTTGGAGTCTATGGCACGTCCAGTAAGTGAAAAATACACACAGTGCCGGTACCTTTTTCATTTGAATGCAGAATTTATTTCAAACAAAGACTTTTAAATATGAAACTCCTATAAATTATGAACATTTATAGAATATACTTTTGCCAAGGAAAAAGCTTGGAAGAGTGAAGGTGTCAAAATCCAGCTCTGACAAACAGAATGGAGCTGGTTGCTATTCAAAGGGTATTCTCCCCTGTGTTTTCACACAATTGACTGTTTTACGGAATACCATTATTTGGTGTAAATATTACTTTACAGATCCTCAATGGCTGCAGTCTTCCACAGCTAATTTATGCCCCAAAGCAGTTTTTACTTGCTTCAATTAAATCAAGCTGTCTGATTTGCAGTACTTGCATTGCATAGCAAACGAAAAATAATGTATGCCAACAAGGTGAGAACTTAATCCAACTTCTGTTGTACAGGTAGAAAATATTTACAAGTAAAAATGTTCTAAACTGTCCCCTTCTAGTCAAGAAAGTGTCTGACCATTTACTACCCTTGTAAACATTTATTATATTATTCTTTACCTTACGTAGCTGCTATTCCCAGGGTTTGGATTAATGTATTTTGCAGAAATGTACAGCAACACATATTCCTCACTGATACTCAGCTGGTTTTATTGTCTTACTCTATGGAATCCTGTATGTATAGAATAGAGCCGTTTACAGAAAGACATTTCTCCTTAGAATACCACATTTTACAAACTGGAATTTCCCTCCAGCTTACATCCTTCCAAAACAGGCATGTCATAAAGATCAATTCTGACTATAAATACATAGTTTATATTAGTCCTTTTATGTACAACAACAAACAAATTACCCCAGTATGAAGATACTTACATATCGGTACAGATTTGAACTACAGACCCACTTCTTTAACGAAGTTTACAGTATAAAAAAAATAAGGATATCAGTTACCCACTATAATATTTTCATCATTTAGTTTCTTGTGGAGCAGTCAGTGATACAAGCATTGCTTGTTTTGTGTAAAATATATTATTATAGAATACCAGTATTCTGTCCTTCCACTTACAAAAATATAATTATGTCCCTCAGAAATCTTATTGAATTAAAAAGTGTATCAAAAATACAAGTCATCATTTTAGACCATATGTGAAATTAGAAATAAAGTAGAAGTCCATGTGTAATTATACACACAATACTATCTTCTGGCTCAGGGAGCCACTTCTGATTTTGCATTAAAAAAAAATCAAAGCTTAGTTAGAAATCTAATGGCCAGAGATGAGTTTTGGCTACTGAGTAATGATACTACATTATTAGTGTGGCCAAAGAACAGCCACTGGAAAATGTTTACAGATGTTCAGTTTGAAGGATATAAAATACCTTGGTGACAGCGGGAATGGTTGAAAAATACCCCAAAGCGATGGCCATTTAGCAAAAAGCAAAGAGCATTTCTTGCTGCTTGTGTTTGTTTTGTGTGTAAAAACCTGCCAGCCTGGCATGACCCACTTTGGGTGGTGCTGCCCTGAAGGAGCCTATCTGAGCAAAGGAGAACTTGGGGGCATTGCAAGTTGTGTTGGTTATGGTTGTCTTCCCACTACTAGGACAACTTAGGATTCAACCTATGAGGTTTATATAGGAAACAAATAGGGCACATCTTTTTACATTTTGCATGGTTTAAAGTGTTGGATTATTAATTCAAATGCATCTTTTCCTAAATCAAAAGGCAGAAATCTGGCCGTCCGTTTCAGCTGTAACCAAAGCTATGCTGCTGGGAATTTCCCATGTCTGAAAAGCAGATTTCCATGCTCAGCTGTGTTTCTTAACATCCTTAGGAATTGTGGTGGGTTTTGCAGTGCTGTGCCCTTTGCTGAGCTATTTCCCATGCATTAGCAGCACTTCTGTAACTCACATTGCTCACTGCTTTGGCAATGCTGTGGAGAAAAATCCTGGTGTGGAATCTGCCTCAACTGCACGTCAGAACAAATGCCACCAGGGACATTGCTGCTGTGCTTCCCAGGAAGGCAGAAAAAGAACATTTATACAGAATATGCTGTAAAAATGGAACAGGTTTTGTTCTGTGAGGGTGTTTGTTAGGTGGGATGGATTGACATTATCATTCTTAATCTGGTAAATGAGGAAAAATGGAGAAACAATAATTTATCAGCAAAGTAACCTCTTGGTTTTCTGTTAAGTCCTGTAAGAAAAAGTAGCTCAAGTTAGAATTTATCCATTCCCACTTAGCTGGCAGGAGCCTACGCCACTGCTTGCTGACTCAGAGGAAAGCCATCTCTGGAGTTACACTGCCCAAAGCTCCACAGCTGTTTACCTTCTATTATTTTGGGAACGGATTTTTTAACATTCCTTTTCCCTGCTAGGAGAAACAACAACAGTGAAGCCACCTATGTAATGCAAAACTCAAATGTTCAGCTAATGTAACATACTAACTTCTTCAAAACTAACGAAGTCGTACCAATTTATAGCAGCACAAGAACTGGCTCAAAGTATTTTACATGTTTTTGCCTGCCCAGAAACCATCGAGCTATCATGCCATCTTAGTACCATGGGCCCTTCATAGCTCAGATTCCTTATCTACCTCATCTAGGTAGTATTCATCATCAGTGGTGGTATCACTGTCTGAGTCTGAATAAGCTGCTGGGTCTTCCTGGTAAATATCAGCCAGTTCTCGGGGGGAAGAAGCAGCCGATGACATTTTGCTCCCAGCAGAACTTGAGCTCAGAAGCTCAGCCCTGTTTATAGAAGGGGTCTCTCCATCTCTGAGAGCACCAGGGTTATTAAGGAGACAAGGTCTCCATAATCGCCCCTCTGTGAGCGACCTCTTGATATTTTCCAGGAAAGCCAACTGTTGTTCTTTGCCAAATATACCAAATTCAACAGAAGGATACATCAGATTTCTAGTGCTGTAACATTTTTCATCATCTGATGCCCAGTTTTCATTTTCATCACAAGACAACAGCTCCGAGTAAGATTTAAATCTCTTCCCATGTATGCCCTCTTTTGGTAGAATATTGCTTCCTGAGGCAAAGGTCTCATGGGAATCTGGAGCACAAATACCCTCAGAGAGGTGACGCTCACGCTGACTTTTGGCATGACTCTTGTGCAACTGAGAGCTGTGCAAGTTAGCATTTTTTAAGCTCGCAGACTGAGAGGTGTTTTGGCACCGACCAGGCACTGTCTGGGAAGTCAGGTTTTGCTCTGGATATATGTCTGCCTGCAAGCAGCTATTTACATACGTGTTTGAGTTTTTGTCAGTTAAAAGTGGCAAGGGAGGACTGCAGGCATGACTTCTAGCTCTTCTTTTCTCATCATCCAGAGCGTCTGATGTAGTAGCACTGGGAGAGATGGGCTGGCTCTTGCTTTCTAATCTGAGATCAAGAGTTTGGGAATTCTTATTTCTTGTGGGTACTGCTTTATCTGGAAAGAGAGTTGTAAGACTTGGCCTATTTTCCACTTTCACTGTAGTTTTTTTGCGACTGATGGCTTCCTTCTGGGTGTATGAGCTTGTAAAAGACCTCCAGTTGGCGTTATTAACACGCAAAGAAGGATCATTCTGATTTTCAGTCTTCTTATTCTCAGTTGTTCTTGGTCTTGGCATATTCTTATCAGGGTCCAGACTGTGATTCTGATTTTTGTCATCTGACTGCAGGAATGGCTGATGGGAATCTGCTGGAATCAGTAAGTCAAGGGGCATGTTGTCCTCTAAAGAAGTAGCACTTCCATCATTCTGTGAAAAAATGTTACTTATGTGCGGTTTGGGGGGTAAGTTTTTACTTGAAAATTTTCGACTTGTTTTGTAAACAGCAGCCAGTTTATTTTTAATTGAAGGTCTGTTTTTCCTTTTTTCTATATCTTTGACTTTGTCTCTTGTGCAGTCAGAGAGAAGCTTGTTCTCGTCTTCTGCACTCGGTGTTATCTTCTGATCTTGTGTTACCCTGAGGACTTTATCTTTACAGTTCATGGTCAGGCTGCCTTCACTGTGCCTCTCTGATTCTTGCAAACCACTATAATCTTTACCCATCTGAGTACCCTGTGAGCTTTGCTCTCTTTTAATGTTTGAATTCTTTACTTCATCTGTATCTGTGCTAACCACTTTGTCAAGCTGAAGTGCTATATCAGCACTGCGAGCTGTGCTTACCTCAGATGCTTTGCCCTGAGACTCTGACAGCACTTTGCTACGAGAGTTTAAATCATTTGCATTTTTTCTTGAACTGTCAGCCCTTAATTGCAGTCCACTACATTTATTGTTATACAGAGGGCTGGCTTGGTGTCGGAAATTTAATCTCTGTTTGACTTCCGTGCTATCCCTGTACCTGTCTTCTGCAGGAGAAAGCGGCACATCAGCACGCTCTGTGTTACTGCTCCTTCCAAGGGAATTTTTCTCTCCTGAACGGAGGAGTGAACTGTTCAGATTTTTATTGGTTTTCACTTTAGGGGCCTGACAGCAGTTTTCAGAGTTTCGCTTCTGTATTATATTTTTATTTGTTGAAGTAGAATACAAAGGCTTCTCTAAATGTCTGCCTTGCTTGGGAGGGATTGATAAAGTGGACGTTAGTGGTGCGGCTGTCTGTAGAATTTCCTTCCTTTCTTTTAGACATATTTCTGTATTTTGGCTGCTTGAAGCATCAGAAATGGCCTTACCTGACTTAGCCACTATTGGAGTGGCTTGTGTCACCATGTCATTTTCTGCTAATGAAGGATCTGCTGAACTATCTTTCCTGTTATGTACCATACTCATCGACTTTGGAGTACATATCTTCTCAGAGCTAGGAGATAAATGGGAATTCTCTTCCTCACTATCAACAGCAGTTCCTAAGTTCTGAGGTGTGACCAAAGCTGAAGACACTTGGTCAGAAGAATATGAAGGCACCTCCTTTTCCACAGTACTGGGGGAAAAAATATTTGCTAAACTCACATGACCTTCATTTTTCTTGTTTTGTATTCTTGGTGAATGAGCATTTTCTTTGGGACAAGGTAAATCTGCATCCTCTGGATTATCTCTAAAGAGGTTACAAAATGTCCTTGAATGCCTCCGTGGTAATGTGTAATAAATCGAAACTAGTTCATGATACTTGACATGATCTTCATCAACACAAACTGTAAATGTGCTTGTAGTTTTGTATTTCTGCAAAAAATTTCCCCTGTCATTACAATCTGAAAACACAGAGGATTCTTCTCTGCTTAGATGTTTACACCTATCTGTCAGTTCAACTGACGTGTTACTACTTACTGAATCATTAGGACTTTTGGTTAAAGGACTGGAGTAATCTTTTTGTTTGTTACTTGTAGCAGCATGTAATGATGCTGATGCTGAAAAGGAATGTTTTGAGTCTAAACAAGACACATCTCTTTGATTAAAACAAAAGGCATCAGCTCTACGTGGGGTTTCAGACCTTAAATAATTGTATGTTGTTCTACTTTCTCTAGGTAAAGAGATGGGCGTATCTGACATAATACTACCAGCAATGCTAGCTGATTTTCTGGGTAAAGTGTAATAAACAACAAGTGGGTCAGGAGATTTGAGGCTGTTTCTTCTGGGGGAGCCAGTAATGCTGCAGCTACTGGTGTGTCTCAGCAAGCTGTCTTGCTTGTGAAACCTTTCAGTACAAGGTGAATTACTCCTTATTTTTCTGCTTTCTTTTTCAAGGCAAAAATAACTTAAACTATGATCAGAGGTTTTGGTGTCTCCATCAAAGCTGTGCATATAAATATTTCCAGATTTTCCATTTTGTAAAGAACTAGTAGTGAATTGTCCATTACAGTCCTTAGTATCTAAAGTGCCTGTATTTTGCAGTGGTTTCTGTGCAATCTTTTCAGTAACACCTATTCTGCTCGCTTGGGCTGGTTTTTCACCTTCTGCTTGAGAGTCAGTAACTGTGCTGCTTACTGAAGAGCTAGTTAATGTTCTTAAACATTTAGAAATGCCTTTATGAGAAGGTGCTTGTGGAGAGCTTTGTGAGGAGCTAGATGGACATACAGGAGGACAGGGCAACGTGCCTTGACAGTTTGCTAATTTTTCAGTGGAAGGAGCAGAAGCAACATTCAGCAGTGAGGAGTGTTTCTGTGGAGTAGCTTGGTTAATGGCTTCTGTACTCAGATTATCCTGTTTGGTGCTCTCTTTTTTTGCTGCATAGTGCAGATTATGTTCCCAGTCTTTCTGACTTGGAAGGAAAGGTTCCTTTTCACTCTCATCAGCTGTCAAAATACCCGCAGGCTGTCTGAACACACTGTTGGGTGGGCAATCGTTTCCCTTCATTTGTACATTTTTTTTGTCACAGTTTGACATACACATTTTTGCAGTATCTCCTCTGGCAGTGACTTGGGTTTGTCTCTTTGATCTCATTGTGTTGAAGAGAGATGCATCACTCTGCAACATGGCAGAAGCAGGACTGTTAGAGGGAAAACTCTGGTTGTTGATGTAGTTTGTATCTGTTTGTTGAGAAACTGACTGTAGTGGCATGTTTTCACCTGGCAGTTTTGTACCTTCAACCTTTTCTAGTTGTGTAAAGTCCGCTTTAGTGCTTCTTTGCATAATGTCAACTGAATTCCTGTTCAGTCCCATAGGTTTTATTTGGTCCTTCACATTAGGAAAGACTGACTCATCAGTTCTGGTACTACATGCAGAAACCGAAGAGTTACAACTTAGCCAAGGCTGACAGCCCTCAGTGAATTCTGAAAATGTTCTACTTGCACTTCTTGTTATCCTTTTGATATTCATATTTTCTGGAGAATACATGTCAAAATCATTCTGCAGGCGCTGCGAGCCAAACTTGGCATTCTTTGTATGTGCCCACTGTTGCTCATTTAAATTGGCCATCATCGCTTCAAAGCTGGCATCAGGGGAAATAAATGCTTCATCACTGTAGTACTGAGGAATATCACTCCAAGAAGGACAGCTGTCTTTTTTTCCATAAGGAGAATTTTTTTGGTTTGCATACAACATGCCATGAGAAGAAGTATCTCTATAGTAGGATCTAGAGAGATTGTTTTCTGATTTGTAGAATGGATAATTTTCCCAGTTATCAAAGGGCAATGGAGAAGTAGCTTTGTCAGGGCAACTAACTCTACTAAAGCAATTACTGCTTGAAATAGATCTTCTGTAGTGGTGTTTTGAGTGGTAACATCCGTATTTCTTAGTTTCTTGCAAAGCACTGGAATATCTGCCAGGGTCTGTAGCATGAAACTCCATCAGTGACTGGGTTCTAAACATTTTTTCTTGGGTTGGTGTTTGTTCAGGGGAGTCTGGTGTGTTGTTCCATACAATAGAAGACAGAGGAATTCTCTTTGGGTTCTGTCGACTAAACCTTGGTACAAAGCCATTCTTGGTTCCCCTTGCCAATGGATGCTGTAAACTAGATCCTGATAGCTGATCAGAAGATACTGATGATAGACATCTCCAAAGGGAACATACAGAGTAACTTCTGCCAGCTGCATCCCTGTGCATACAACTTTTGTGCCTAAATCCACTGTTGTGTGTTACGGAAGGAGGATATAAGCTACCTTCTGAAGACCGCCCAAAAGAAACAGAAGGCAGCCTGCTGCTTAGCAGATGAGGATTTCCATCAACTGGGTCGCCATATCTGTGGTCATCTTGAAAGGCTTTCTGGTGCCAGTTTATATATGCACTGTGTAATTTCCTTGGTCTGATGAAAATCTTGTGTTCATCTTTGGCTCTTATTGTTCTCAGTCCATCTGGGAAAAGTGTGCTAGGCATGTCATTCCAGTCACTTCTGCGTTGCCCCCTACTAGCAGTCTGCCTCTTTGGGGTAGGGAAGGCAGTACTGTATTGGACATTTGATGCACTGCTAGTAGGAACTGTCCTGTCCAGTGGGTCCTGGGCTTGTTCCTGGGCCAGCTGGTCATCCAGATCATTGAGAACTGTACAGGCAAAAAAACAAATGTATTTGGTTTTGTTTAATAATTTCTATTTATGTTTAAAAGTTTCATATACGACAATTAATGATCAGAACTAGATTTAAAAGGAGTCAGCTTCTCAGCATTCAAAACCCTCCCCAAAACACACATTCTTCCTCCACAGGACCTGTAAACAGTCACCCATTATGACTGCAAGGAAAAAAATGTGCTGCTCTATGACCGGTCTTAAAACTGCTCTTTATGTAAATGTTAGTCTTTATGCCATTTAAAAGAAAACCAAAACAAATTGAAGTCTGAATTCTTACTCACGCACTACGTGTGTGTGCGTGTAAACTTTCCAAATCCAGTTTGTAAGCAAAAAATCCCTGAAAAGAATTCACTGGGTAGACATGGACCTTTACATATGTTCATAAAGCACAGTTATGATGCAACTGTAAGAAAACACAGAATCCTGCAAACCAGCAAACAAACTGGTTTCAGTAGCCTGGCATGTCCACTGTCTCATTCAGAAAAGAACTTTTGCACTAAATTGTAGATTATTACTTTAAAAGGAGCACTGAAAATGGCATTTTCTGGATAGAAAAGGGTAATGAAATAGTTAAGAACCCATGATTTGTCTCATGAACTGGAATTAAACACTCTACAGCTCAATTAACCAAGATATACTGTTGTAAGACCAACAACAATGTATTTAAAGTATTTTATTGGCAACAACAATTACACCTTTGCTAGCTGTATTCTTTTTGTGTTTTGAAAATAGCACATGTAAGATATAAACACAAATGGATATGGCTGGTTTGCCAGAGCATTTCCTGATTCATTTCAATAAAAAAGACTGACTGATCAGTCATTACAGATCTGCACTAACAGTACAGAATCATTAAGAAAGCATTGCTAGGTATGTATAGTTGGAATAAAAGGTGATATGAAAGTAGTAAAATTTACTTTTTTTCTAAAAGTTTCTCTTTAGCACAGAAGAGAGAAGCCTCCTGAGAGTCAGCTTAGAAGAAGAAAAAAGATAAGTTGTTTCTGAGTCTTGCATTTGGAGGACATCATCCAAGCTATGTACAGTTTTAGGCTGTCAGTGGACAAGTGTGCAGAGTTATTACTGACATGTAAGCAGAGAGGTGTGTGAGTTTCAGAAGAACCACTACAGTGGTTCACCATGCAGTAGTACACAATGAAGTGGTTCTCATCTTCCAGCGCTGCCAACTCACCCACTGCTTCCCAAACATGCTTTCAGCCTCTGATTTCTTGTAATTTTGGGTGGTAGAAAGTAATATTCATGGACATTTGTCTGCACAGATCTGAGAGAGCTTATGGAAGAACACCTCAGTACTCCCATAGGCTGGGTCTGATCTTGCCTTGCTTCCCAGCAGTGAGAAGGGAAAAAAGAACAGGTTTTGAGTGTTCTGTAAGGGCTCCCAGAAAGCTAACTGAATGCCACAATACCTTTTGCTTCTGTGGATTGAGGCCTTACAGTTCACAAAACCAGGCCCAATAATTCATCGTTATCAAAACTATGCACAGGAAACTGGGATGAAATTCTCTCATAACTGTGTCTGCATTTAAAGGATGCAATATGGGCTCCTGTCAGAATCAGAAGAGAAATGTACGCTCTTAAGGTGTGATTCTTCTGAACTGCATCAGTATGAGATGAAACGCACTCTAAGAGTGACCAGTGACATGTTTTGAAGTGTCAAAATACACAATACAATACAGTAGACATTATGCTGTCAGATGAAGCCAGCAAAAAGTAGCCACTATGGTAGAAAGTAGTAGCTGTATCTTTACAACCTATGCGTTTGCAGAGAATGCTCTGAAACCAATCATCACAGTCACTTCTGGTAACAATAATATGAGAACAAAGTAAGGACACCCACTTACCACTGAAAAACTCCTTCTCTAGCTGTTCACTCCATTCCTGTGTACTTTCCTCCATCATTTCATTTTGGTTTGCATCAAAAGTATGACCGTCTGTTTCAGTTGCCATTGGGGAATTACACGTTTCAGCCTGTTAAAAATTGTAAGGCAAATGATTTTAGTTTTACATGTGGGTTTAGATCATGTTTCACATGTCACATCACAAATTGTGCCACAAGTCACAGAGGTCAGTAAATTCTCTGTAGGTCCATTAAATGCAGTATTACTAAAATATACCACTGAGGATTGTAAAGTTGCATGCATTTTAGAGACTTTTACATATCTAATAAGGAGATTTGCTCATCCTCTCCTCATTCTGTAGCGTGTTTTGGATACATGAGTTATAATGACCTTAAAAAGTAACAGGCATAGTTTGCTTATTTTGTCCATATGCATCCTTACTGCACTGTATCTCTTAATTCAGTTTTTCCTAATCATCTGTTCCTTAACCAGCACATTTTAAAGTTCACACACTCACTTCCCAACAGAGATTTAATAATTTAACACCACAGTCAATTTTCATATTGCAAGGCAGCACTTTAGGGGGCTGTGATAAATTACCTTAGCAGCAGGAAAAGTGTCATCCTATTCCCCATCTGAGTTTAGTTTACATGTTAAGATGGAGAGGTTCCTATCCCATCCATATTTCTCTCAGCTCACAGTCTCAGATTGTAGAAGTGCAGACAACTGCTGAACTGCTGATTTATTTTAGCTGAGAACCTTCCTACTTTTTAAATAAAACCCCTTACTACATTTTAGTTCTCAACATTCATAACAGTTTACTTGTCTAGCTGTGATAGTCTGTATATATAATAGGCACGATTCTCTGATAAGATCTTTGTTCTGTCATATATTAATATGGATTATCCCTTTGTTTTTGAAATATGAGAGAAGGCAGGTGGCCAATTTACCTTCTCTATACCTTTGATTATATACTGTATACCTTCTTAGTACCCTCTGTGGTTATACCATACAATTGAAGAGGAGGAAAGACACATTAGTAATATGGGGTAATAAAGTAATTAAAATAATAAATATCATCCTTGGAGGAAATCTTTTTATTTCAACAGCCTGCGCTTAAATTACACCAGAAATAAATCTGTTTTTTCACCCTTAAATTGAGCTTGTGCTTATAAAATGGAACATTCAGCCAAAAATAATTTCCTTCTGTCAAAATTTATATTTACACAGTAATTCTGCTCGTGGAAATGTTGCAGGAGAGGCTCTAGCTTATTGCCTGCCTAAGTCAGCTACACTTTTTCATCCTTGTATGAATGAAAAGAAACAAAGTAAATACGTTAGATTTTTTATTCAGTGTGAGTTTGGACCTATTTGCAGGTTGGTTACAGTTGCCAAAATAAGTGAGGGTTTTGGCCTAGGACATTATCCATGCAATTATTCCATCATTAAAAGAGAACTGAAACCTGGTCAGAGCTAGACTTAGGGCTTACTTAGGAAAGCTTTGGACTTCTACAGTTAACAGAGCCAAGGTCATTCTACTCCATTCAACAGGTTCACAACACAGACACTTTACTCAGCATTTAAAACAATAACTGCAAGAATACTATTTAAACAGGTGTTCTATCACCAGCCTAAACAAAGGGGACTAGGTTTTGAGAAATCTGTGGTTTAAACATTGCTGACAATAAAGTTGATGACTTACCGTTGCCATTTCTTCCACTTTCAAAGATGGGCTAGCAGAACTGTCACATCTGTAGGTAGAAGGATTTACATGTTGGCTTTGAAATGGAATACAATGTAATTTTACTAGATAGTAAATATCCAGCAGTTTCTCTTTAATAACTATTGAGAAGTATCTGAAAAAGACTGCTGTATGAAGAAACCATCCTTCCCCCCTCAAAAAAATCCTGCTAACAATGAAATGCTGGGGAAATGTACTGTTCAGTTTGGCCTTGTCAGCTTGCAAATGTTGCAGCTGCACAGCCAAGAATGAACTCAGCCTACTGATATCTCAATGTCTGCAACAGCCATAAAGTAATTGTTTCAATGTAGCTTTATGATAAGATGTTATTACTTCTCTTTCCAAACAACAATTTAGTAGGTACTACAAAGTTAGCTTTGGCTACTTCTAAATCTGTAAGGGGGTTGGCATCTGCAATTCTATTACTTTTGCATTTCACCATGCTCAGACACAGAACTCTGCCCCTGTGAATGTGGAGAGACAGACAGCAGATCCTTTTCAGTGTGAACTTTGGAAGTTCCTGCTACTCACCCCAAACAGCCTTTATTTACCAATTTGTAACACATGATAGAAGACTCGTCTGCTTTCCTAAGCTATACAGAACTGCAAGGGCTTGGCAGAGAACTGACTAGAGAGTCTGTGAGTAATGCCGTGGTTAGAACAAGCCAAAAGCCCTGAACATAAAAGGTATTCTGTTCTACAGGGTGACTTGCAGACATACAAATACAAAATAAACTAAAGAAACAAGAGCAGGACTTGACTTCACTGAGCCTGTTCCAGTCTGCAGCTCCTTATTTTACAACTAAGCAAACCCAGTCCCTTCAAAAGCCCTGAAGGAAATGTTGCTCAGCTTGTGTTTATTGCCAGTTCTTCCTGGTCTCAGAAACTTTTTTCCCAGGAAGTTAATTCTCGAGAGAAAGTGAAATAGAGAAAGATGGTTCTGCTCAGTCCTGTTTGTCTCAAAGTCTGTTTGAATGACCTTGTTCTTAGGCTCTTAAAACCTTCTTGGGCTCAGGTAAGACTACTTTATTGTGCTTCAACAGCAAGTATAAACCGGCTTGTTGGCAGGTTCTTTGTGGCCCAGCCTTTCCTCCTGTAGTGCTTTGTCATTTGTTTGCAATGTGCTTGCAGGCAGGGAAGAACAGTTGAAAGGTGCAATTTGTTTTTACTTCTGTAATTGTGAACTGTAAAACCAGGATTCCTCTCTGACATGGGGTCCAACTGAAACCAAAGGAAACAAGCCTGTTGACCTCAGTGGGCTTAGGATCCGGCCAGACAATCTGAATCCAAAATTCCTCATTTTACCTTGTAGCACTGAATATGAACAGCCATTAATTCAGTGGGTTACTGCTCCCTGTCAATGATGTTTACAGAACCTGGACTCAGAGATGTATCTATAGCTCTTCCTTTAAACTAGAATAATGTTGAATATGTTTTAATGCTTCTACAACAAATTAAGAAGGAAACCTGTGTTTCAGAGTTTTCACAATGATTTCCTGCAAACCAAGGTGAATGGAATTCTGTGGCTTAGCAAGTTACCTTAGTTTTAATTATATGCATAACAAAAATGTGAAAGCTTTGTTGGGAGCTTTCTTCTCCAGCTTTACTGTGCAAAGCTGTTCTGCAGTTCTCCCCACTTGGTGCTGTGCTTGGTGTTGTGTTAATTGCTCCTTGCAATGAAGCTACACAAAGTAGACATGTTAGTTAGAAATGTCTTCTGACAGTCTGAGCAAAAATGAAATTTTCATTTGCACCTCTGGCACTATTCTAAATTCCTCTTTGTTGTCACTGTTCTTTCAGAAATAACTGGTCACTGCCTCCTGCTTTATTTTGCTCCCTGGCAGCTTACACAGACAAGGTTATTTTAATCTTTTCCCTATGCCAATCCCTCCACGTCTCAAACGGCTTCATTATTTCTTCTGAATTCTTTTAAGTTTTTTTCAGCATTTCAAAATTAAAGTTTCGATTACTTCTAGAGAAATATTGCATAATTTTAAGGAAAAGTAATTCAGTTTCTTTTTTGATTAAGGATATTGAGCAATGTTTACATTATTTTGCACACACATGCACACATACATACACATGCATATACCTGTAAACATTATCATTCATAAACAAAAAAGAAGTTAAATTAATGCTCAAGTTAAGAAATATTCACCATCAGAAAAATACTACTCACTATGGAAAACAAGAAGTTATATTTTATGCTTTTTCACTTACGTACATATGTACCTTTTTATGACAACTGACTATAAGATTAAAAGTAAAAGATGATGCTACTTATGACTATCATCACTACTGGTAACAACACTATAAATCCATGAACTAAAATGTGCTGTGAATTGGTGTGTTCACCGAGGCACCTGTCCTCCCCAGACCATCCCTGCGTTGTCTAATGTCAGAGTGTACTCTATTTATTTCTGCACTTTTCTTACCAGTACTCCGTAAGAAGCCAGCTAAGCAACAAACACACAATTCAAACATGCTGAAAACAGAATTAACAGCATTTCTTTTCCAGTATGAATCACACTTACATATTAGAAAAGAATAAGGATGAATTCAAGAATCGCAAACACCTTTGAACCAAAAGCGATCAAACATTTCCCTACCTTCAGACTACAGTTACAAACCTTTTATTAGCATCTTCCGTGTCTCCACATAAGCACACTCTTTTTTGCAGCATCCACAATTTATTCTCACAGCACACCACCACCGCAGCTGATGAAACTGTCTCTCCAGTACAGAAAGGACCCTTAGCTATTTCAAAGCTTCTGCCAGTTAGGCTTACTTACAGGATTTACAGTGCTGCCTCCTATTGTGTTTCACTAGCTCTCCAAAATAACTCTACCTGGTGAGAGGCAGATTATTTCAGTGCTTTGCCTATGCATAAAGCAAACCACATGCCAGGGCAACACCTAGAAGAGGGTGGGGGAAGTTTTCAACAGAGAGGCGTGACTAGAAAATGTAGCAATCAGCTCAGTTACACGTCAGGATTGACTTGTTTATTTTTCAAGCTGTGCTCGGTAAGAAATCAAAGGCATCTGAGCTGGCGACATGGTAGATTTTCGGTGGAAAAGCCAGATAAACACATACTGTAAAAGCTGATGCAATGAGTAGGCATGGTTTATTTTTTTTGCCTTAGTTTAAGATATCATTTTGATGCTTAGCTTCTACAGCAAAGCCAAGACCTTCCCTTCTGCACTGGCCACCTTACCTTGCAGCAGCATACAGTGTCCTTGAAATCTGATTCTCAGTTACACAAGTGCCCCTTTACTCTGCAGAGAGGGCTGTGGTCTAGTGTTGGTATGTCCCAGCATAAGGGGCATTACTGTGTCACAGGAAAGAGGAGGGAGCAGATGACATGCACCGACCAGTGTTACAACTTTGCACATTTTTGTTTCTATGCTGCCTTGCCTTGCTATGTAGAATTGTTACCAGTAAACATCCACAAAGTTAACCTCATGGCCTCTATTCAAACCTCTTCTTAAATCTCCTGCTTTGATACAAACACTCCACAATGGAAAGCTGCTGTGCTACAAAACCTATGTATAAAATCATCATAATTTATTTAGAGGCTTGCATTCCCTGTCATTGTTTATTACAAGCTGTTCCTTGTAGCATAATGCCACCTAGGAGCCCCAGGCATGGACTGGAGACTCACAGTGTGAAAATCAGCTATTTGCGCCAAAGATCTTGCAGCTTCATACTTAAATTTCACAGCACTGCACAATGCACCTTTATCTGTGATTGCCAGACCCAAGCACTACCCTAAGATGCACACAAAAATATTTCACTCAGGTGTTGCTGACATACAACCATACAGGAGAAGTTAGGAGAAATCAGTCAGCCTAAGTAGCCTGAGTGTAGTCGCATCCCTCTGAGGAGCAGCTTTATCCCTGGGGATGGCAAGGGGGAAGGATGCTTTTCAAACAGCAGCTCTAGCACTGCGTATGAGACAATCTTTGGCTCTAACCTAATTGAAACCAAAGCCCTGACGAAGCATGGAAGACAAAAGCACTGGAGATACACCCTGTTTGTCCAGCTAGAGCCAAAGCTGCAGGCCTGCCTCTAGGCTGCCTCTGGGTTAGAAATGGTGGGAACTGATGCAGCAGAGCTGCCTGGGGCCACTACTCTCTGCCATGGCCTGGGAAAGCTATGCTTTTCTGTTGTATCACAGCCATAGGGCACCAGATCTCCCTACGCCATACAGCTGGTCCTCTTGAGAGAGAATTAAACAGAATGCAGCCACTGCTAAGTCTGGAGGCTTTCAAATACTCAAAACCAGTGGAGGGGAACCTCAATCCATTCCACTCCTACCAGTCAGATGCCACTGCCAGCAAGAGATGACCAGAGCCTGGAGAGGGATCACAGGTCGGCAGGAGAGCACCTGAAGAGCAGCACAAAGGAATTCCAGCCACTTGAGCCAGTAAGTCAGCTTCATCAGGAGCCCAGCTTAAATGCCTCTGTGCAAATGTATGTAGCATAGGGAATAAATGAGTTAAAATGTGCGCACACCTGCAGGGCTACGATCTTATTGGCATCATGGAGATGTGGTGGGATGGCTCCTATGACTGGAGTGTTGGAATGGAAGGATACAGACTCTTCAAGAAGGACAGGCAGAGAAGATGAGGAGGGGGTGTTGCCCTCTATGTCAGTGATCAGCTGGAGTGCATGGAGCTCCATGAGATAGGAGATAGGTGCAGCCTCACATTCACAAGCCCTGGTCCTCATGGGGGACTTCAACCACCCCGGTATCTGCTGGAGGGACAACACAGGAGGGCATAAGCAATCCAGGAAGTTCCTGGAATGCATCTATGATAGCTTCCTTCTCCAAGTGACAGAAGACCCAAAGAGGAGAGGTGCTATGCTGGACCTTCTTCTCACCAACAAGGCTGGGCTGGCAGGGAATGTGAAGCTCAAAGGTAGCCTGGGCTGCAGTGACCATGAAATGATGGAGTTTAAGATCCTTAGGACAGTGAGGAGGGTGCACAGCAAGCTTGCTACCCTGGACTTCAGGGGAGATAACTTTGGTCTCTTGAGGTATCTATCTGATTGGTAGGGTATCATGGGATAAAGCCCTGGAGATAAGAGGCTGTAAGTGTTCAAGGCCAGGTTGGATGGGGCTTTGAACAATCTGTCCAGTGGAAGGTGTCCCTGCCTGTGGCGGGGCGGGGGCTGGAACTAGATGATCTTTAAGGTCCCTTCCAACCCAAACTATTTTATGATGCTATGATTATGCAAAACCTGAGTAAAATAGATTGAGTCACGAGACTTTACCTATTATTTGCCACTTAGTCCTCATTCTTCTGACACAGAACAAATAATCTCTCATTACATGACCAAGTATAATCCCAGTCTTTCCAGTGAGGTGAAAGGCAAGAGACTGAAAAAATAATTTTAACGAAGTTTTCTAACAAAACACAGAACAATTATTAGACTTTTTTAAAGCTGGAAATAGTTTATGTTCTGATCATAGCTCACCGTGGTTGCTTCTGAGTCTGGTTTTTCCTTGATTTTCTAAAGGAGAAAAGCCAAGCAAAAGGTGATCTGAACCCCAGAAAGGAAGCCGAAGTGTTCTTTTGTGCTTGAGGATTTGTGCTGGATGACATTTTTAGTTCCTTATGATCTAAAAATATTATAAAAATTTGATTTGTTTCAAGGTCTCACAAATGCAGTGTTAAAATATACATAAAAAGTTATGTCTTCATAAAATTTTTTCCTTTGCTTACCTTTTATGCTCGGAAAACCCAGTTTTATTGACATTTTGGACAGACTATGTGATATGCTGGTTTGTAATGACTAACTAGAAGATTAAGAGAAAAATAAACAGGTCTAAAGTTTCAAAAAGTATCACTGGTTTTGGGTAATGCACGTGAGTTAATGAGGCTGCCTTTCAGAAAGTAATCAGCACTCAACCATTTGCAAAGCAGAACCATTTTAAAATACCAGCAAATTAGACACTTGAAAATTGAGGCACCCACCATCATTAGTCACTTTCTTTTCACCTGTGTAAGAAATATAAATATGGCAACCCTGAATATACAATGGCTTCATAGATTGTAATTTAACTACATAACAGTAATTCTGACTACGTGTCTTCTTGTATTACACAATTCTTTATGATGGGATTCCTATGACCATTGAAGTACATTTTTTCTGCTGCAACCTGTGTATAGGAACTGTGTTTTAAAGGCAAGATATTATGAATGATTTCCTTGGGAAGGTTAGAATTTGATTTCTTCAAATGCAACACAAATCCATCTGCCTCTAAAAGCAGCTGGCAATTATCTGTGAGGGAAAGGATGAGTATTGCTCACAGATTAGGGAAGAAACTGCAGGGTCTGCTATTAACACATGCCATGGGAAACAGCAGGACATAAGGAAAACAAGACTTCACTCAGAAATAAGACACTACATCTTTTTTTTTTTCTTTTCTCCATCTTTTCACATACCTGAAACAATATAGCAGCCTGAAAATGGCTTATCAAACGACTGTTGGAGAAAGCAAACCCAGAAATGAGAGCAAAGTGTCACTGATAACAACAGCAAGGGGCAGTATTTTGGACCTAGTCCAAACTGCAGTGAATAATTCATGTCATGTGATTTAAATCCTGTGTGTGATACATGGCTTTCACTTCAGCAACAATCTCTGTGTATTATGAAATGCTGCGTCCTACACCTCTTTCAAAGCCTAACCTCTTGGTGGCATTGTTTGACTTGGCAATGAAGGTGACATCAGCAGAGTCCTTATAGCACTCTGCCATGGCCAGGATGGTCTAAGGATGTAGACAAAGTAAGACTGATGGGTAGAAGTAGTACCTCCCCATCAGTGAAAGTTTACAAGATGAGACTGGACAGGGTGCTAGATAATCTCATCCAGTCTCCCTTTCTCATGAAAGGTTGAACCAGATAATCTTCCAATATCCTTCCAACCTCAGCCATTCTATGATTCTATGGGATAAGAATATCAGGGATTTTCTGTTGTGACTCCCAGCTGTGTTTTTACGAGACTCTGCTTAAGAAACATAGTCATTTTGAAATACATGTTTGGTAAAACTTTGACATGAGAAGAAAACTCAGTGCAATTTCAGAAACTCCTTAGCTACTACACTCTGAAATCCTCTAGCACACTGGCTTGGTGACCATTATCATATAGATAAGGAAATGGAAAAATGCAACTCACCAATGTTTTTGCTCTTCCTTAGCTGATGTTCCAGTGGTGGTTTTAGCATCCTAGTGACATCAATATAATTGTGAAATTTTTGTCTTTGCATTTCTTCAAACCATTCTCCAGTCACTCCCTGCAGCCCCGTTTCAGACTTCCTTCTCTTCAGAAGTTTGCTAGAAAGGAAAAAAAAAACAATAGCAAACAATTTATTTTTAAGCCATTTTTGATATTACGGGCACATCATTAGGAACTCTCCCTATTGCTCATTTAAGTATTTACAGTATATTTCTAATATAATGACTTTTTAAAAGATACAGTGGGACATGATACATTCACCGCAATCACATAAAAGTTTTAGTGACAGCAGAATTCTCCAGTTTAACAATGAGATTATGTGATCAAGTTAAGTGGACAACTCATATGCCTGCAATATTCTCTGCCCTGAAGAAGTGCATCCTTCTTCCTTGCAAAAATGAGGTAATAATTCATAAGCATTATAAAGTTAATTGAAAGTAAGATTAAGTTCAGCCAATAATTAGAATAAATAATAACAGTGCAATTCTTGAAATATTTATTCACTCATTTAACCAGAAGCAATAACAAGAGGAAACTCACTGCAGGGCCTGATGGTGAGGTGCCCACCACGCATTTTCTATGTAAAGGAGAGTATTAAATTGTGAATTCAGCTAAGAGGTATTCATGTAACATGTTCAACGAGTTTATCACATTTTCCTCTTTCCTTGCTGCATAGTGGTTCTGCCTGTGTTTAGTAGGCATGGGAGCAACTAATAATGCACATAAATGTTCTGCCACGCAGAAGAAAAGCCTGAACAAATTACACACATGTGGCTGCAACTGAAGAAGCTCTTTAGTAGCAAGTTTGGGGTTTAGACCAAGAGGTCACAGGAACAAATTGTTTATCTGGACATAAAAGAACAAGGTACAGTTGCAAAGGAGCTGGAATAGTGCAATGGACATGCAAAGTTACTTGTTTTCGAATTACATTACACAAGTGCCTTAAGTACAGATGCAAAAGCAGCAAATCCACGCCCCAAGTGATTGTGATGGCAACAGAACAAGACTTTGTGCACAGCCTGGAGATGTAATACCAATGTTTTAGTAAGGCTTTCATGTAAATCTTCCACCTTAATCAGTGGTAAACCCCATGTCTAGGGATACAGATGCTCTCAGAGAATATAAATTCTTTCAGTTATCAATTTAAATAAAATATATTCTCTGAGACAACACTACTTCATGAAACAAACTCAGAAGTATCCAGTCTGGAAACTGATGTATTTCCATCTGGAACTGATGCATGGTTGTCTGTACTAGCACCGCCTGTTCATCTGGTGGCCTCTGAAGGAGGCAGGAGAGAAACATTTTTGGTAAATGAGTAAATGTTTCCTTGCAGAAGATTACACAGACACATGCACAAGTCCTAGCCATTTGAAATAAACTTATTACAAAGGCAAAAATGTTAATCATCACAGATATTACCACACCATGGGAGTGACTAAACACCGTAAACGCCATCTGCAGCATAGACAACAGCCTAGCAGTAATGGGAAACAGGAGGAGGTGATGAACAAAGTGCTCTCAAGCGCCAACTTCATGACCTCACTCTGTGGCCTTGGCGAAGGCGATCCAAGAGGAGTAAAAGCACACTGAGCCAGGCAGGAGGTGTTCTGGGAGCTGCTGCAGGCACAGCCTTTGCCCGTAAAACAAGCCCACGGCCGCTTTGCTGGAGCCCCGACACGGAGACCATCTCGCATAACCGAGCCCTGCGGTGTTTTAAACCCCATCCAGAACGCACCAGGGCTCCCTCGG